AGGGCATTGCTGCAGCCTCCCACAAGGGTACTGGCCCCCTCTCAGCTGACTTGTTCTCCAAGGGCAGGCTGTCCCAACAATTACACGTGCCTCCACAGGGTCCTCTCTGTCCCAGGGATTAGCTCAGGAACATGCATTGTCCCAAAATCCAAGCACGGAATCAGCCAGGAGCTCCTGGTACCAACAGGACAGTGCTTCCATAAAGGCAACATTTACAGAGAATAACTGGTGTTGTGTTTCTCCGGCTTCCTGGAACTGACAAGCTCAGCTCTTGCGGATGCAGGACACAGAGCACAGCTCTCTCTGGCCTATGGCAGGAACAGAGGCTTATTTGTGACCTGCCAGTCCCTGCCACCCTCAAAATGACCAGAGTGACCAGCCTGAGTCTCGTGGGGGCTCCTTATCCTCTGCCCATGAGAAGCATCTCCCTCTCTCCTTCCTCTGCCCGGAGCATTTCCCACTCTGCTTCCTTCTCAACTGGCCATCAGTGATATCCCAGGCCCTGCAGCCTTCCTCGCTGCCAGGTCTGTGGTGACAACTAAATGAAAAAATGGGCAGGGCACAGTGGTTCACGCCTGTAATCCCAGCACTTCAGGAGGCCGAGGCAAAAGGACTGCTTGAGCCCAGGAGTTCAAGACCAGTGTGGGCAACGTGGTGAAACCCCATCTCCAAAAACAAAAAATTTAGCTGGGCATGGTAGTGCACACCTATAGTTCCAGCTACTTAGGAGGCTGAGGCAGAATTGCTTCAGCCCAGGAAGTCGAGGCTGCAGTGAGCTATGATTGTGCTACTACACTCCAGCTTGGATGACAGAGAAAGACCCCATCACTCATACATACACATATACATAAATGAAAAAATGTCTGGAAAATGCTGGATGTGGGGGACGTGCGGCAGCTGTGTATGAGGACTTCTGTTCGCAGTGCCTGCCCCACAGATGTCGCATTCATGAATTTTTGTTCAAAAGCTAAGATCACTTCCATCCTCTCTGGTCTTTCCTGAGATAATCTGTCCCAGAATCCAAGTTGTCCTCTCCAGTACCCAATTCTTTCGGAGGGTTAAAGGGATTGCAGGGGACAGACAGGAGAGGGAGAAGACACAGGCCACTGCATAAAAAGTGAAACCGAGGGAAAGATAATGGGGATGTTAAAGATGGTTTGCAGGCCAGGCACGGTGGCACACGCTGGTAATCCCAGCACTTTGGGAGGCCGAGGCAGTTGGATTGCCTGAGTTCAGGAGTTCGACACCAGCCTGGCCAACATAGTGAAACCCTGTCTCTACTGAAAAAAAAACAAAGGCTGGGCGTGATGACTCACGCCTGTAATCCCAGCACTTTGGGAGGCCAAGGCGGGCGAATCACGAGGTCAGGAGATCGAGACCATCCTGGCTAACATGGTGAAACCCCGTTTCTGCTAAAAATACAAAAAATTAGCTGGGTGTGGTGGTGGATGCCTGTAGTCCCAGCTACGTGGGAGGCTGAGGCAGGAGAATGGTGTGAACTCGGGAGGCAGAGCTTGCAGTGAGCCGAGATTGCGCCACCGCACTCCAACCTAGGGGACAGAGCGACTCCATCTCAAAAAAAAAAAAACAACAAAAGATTACCTGGGCATGGTGGCACATGCCTGTAATCCCAGCTACTAGGGAGGCCAAGGTGGGAGAATCGCTTGAACCTGGGAGGCGGAGATTGCAGTGAGCCGAGATTGCGCCATAGCACTCCAGTCTGGGCAACAAGAGTGAAACTGTCTCAAAGAAAAAAAAAAAAAAAAAAGATGGCCTGCTTTGCAGCAGGAACTAGGACTCCCTACACACTCATGAACCATCTGGTAACATTCTGTAATAGTGTTCCACGGTTTTGTATTTGACTTGATGTTTTGGGGAATGCTAGAATGCTTGAGTTCTAGAGGCAGCTCAAGAAGACCTGCTAGAGTATCACAACAGACATAGGAATTTGTAAATGTTTTCCACTTGTAGTTGAGCCCAAAGCGTTTTCCTGCGGTTTTCTGTCTTCAGACCCACCATGTACCACATGGAACACACGAGCTCCAGCAGAGGTGCCAGGTCCATCTTGCTCCCCACTGTAACCCTGGAACTGAGAATGGTGCCTCAGACATGGCTGGTGTGCAGCAAATCAAAGTGCCCTCACTTTCAAGAGCTGCCCCATAGCCCACAGAATGGCTGTGCCACCAGTTACTAACATTCCCTACGTGGCAGGCTCAGGCTGCCTCCTGATACTTCTTTTTTTCAGAGTCCAGCTGCCGAACAGGCTCCTGTTTCTTGATTCTCCTTGTGGTTTTTCTCATTTTTCTGGCTCCCTCTGAGCTGCTTCTAGCTAGGATTCAAGCAGGTGAGAGAAGTGAATGGCTGGAAGATTGACTTATGTGGTCAGATCGACGGTACCCGGTGATGCACTAGACAAGGGTGTACTTTAGACCTAGTGTACCAAGGCTAGGTCTAAAGTTTTGACTCATGTATCCAGATGGACAGTGAGTGGCGCCACTTGCCATCAGAGGAGATGCTAGAAAAGGCTCTGAGGAAAGCTTTTTTTATTTTGAGACGGAGTCTCGCTCTATTGCTCAGGCTGGAGTGCCGTGAACAATCTCTGCTTACTGCAACCTCCGCCTCCAGGGTTCAAGTGATTCTCCTGCCTCAGCCTCCCCAGTAGCTGGGATTACAGATGGCTGTCACCACACCTGGCTAACTTTCTTATTTTTAGTAAAGATGAGGTTACACCATATTGGCCAGGCTGGTCTTGAACTCCTGACCTTGTGATCTGCCCGTCTTGGCCTCCCAAAGTGCTGGGATTACAGGCGTGAGTGAGGAAAGCTCTTTTTTTGAGACAGAGTCTTGCTCTGGCACTAGGCTGGAGTGCAGTGGCATGATCTCAGCTCACTGCAACCCCCGCCTCCTGGGTTCAAGCGATTTTCTAGCGTCAGCCTCCCAAGTACCTGGGATTACAGGCATGTGCCACCACACCCAGCTAATTTTTGCATTTTTAGTAGAGATGGGGTTTCACCATGTTGGCCAGGATGGTTTCAATCTCCTGACCTTGTGATCCACCCGCCTCGGCCTCCCAAAGTGCTGGGATTACAGGCATGAGACACCATACCCAGCCAGGGGAAGCTCTTAAGTTCATTTTGGGACACGCTGGGTTTGAGGTGCCTTTACTAGACACACATTGACATGGTAAGCTGACAGTGGATAGAGATGACAAAAGATGGCTTTTCTGCCTGTCCCGCAGCCCAGGAGCCTCCAGAAGAGTGATGGGAAACCTACGGCTATCTTTATGTCTCATCCACATGGGTCACTGTAGATTCCTGGGTGGCCAAAATGGGCCTTAAGTTTGGGAAACTATTTGCCTGGCTAACGTACGACGCATTTAAAACAAACATTTTGTTCATAATGTACTATGAAGGACCCAAGACCCGATTTTCTTCCATGCACGTTTGTATCGACACATCTACAACGCTGAGTAGTCTCTATCTCTGACATAAGGGAGGGAAGCAGGTGCGGAGTGTGCCCCTAGGAGGAGTGTGCCCCTAGGAGTAGCTTTCTTGGGCAGTTTCTGTGAGGGAGAAGGCTGAGTGTAAAGAACAGAACAGCACTGGGAACCAGTTAGAGGCAGAGGAAGCAGCAAATGCAAAGACCCTGAGTTAGGAATGAATTGGTCTCCAAAATAATCTGGACACGGGGCATGGGAGCTCCTGCCTGTGGTCCCAGCTACTTGGGAGGCTGTGGTGGGAGGATCACAGGAGCCCAGGAAGTCAAGGCTGCAATGAGCTATGATTCTGCCACTAGACTGCAGCCTGGGCTATAGAGTGAGATGTGAGACACTGTCTCAAAAATAAATAAATACATAATAAAAATAAACAAAATAGCCTGGCAGCATCAGCAGCACCTGTGAAAAAGGCTTAGGAGTTGAAGAAGTCGGTAATAAAGCCATTTTTAGGTGGTACCAAGAAGGCGTTAAATAATCTTAAATTTTACAGTGAGAAAATACAATTCTTGCTCCATCTTTCTAATTTTATTAAGGAGAAAAATCTCAGTTGAGTGCCGGTCCATCTAACTCCTCACCTCCCTTTTTTACAAAAAGAACAAGCCTCAGGCCCAGAGTCTATGCAGGCAACAGCATCTAGCTGTAATTTAATAACACTGGTGGTTTTTCTTGTATTTATTTTTAGTTACTTTCCATTTATGTGAAGTGTAAAATTTCACTTAAAAATCCATTTAAACTTAAAAGGTGAGTTTGTTTTTAAAAATATTAAGTAACTTGCCGGGTGCGGTGGCTCACGCCTATAATCCCAGCACTTTGGGAGGCTGAGGTGGGTGGATCACGAGGTCAGGAGATCGAGACCATCCTGGCTAACACGGTGAAACCCCGTCTCTACTAAAAATACAAAAAATTGCATAGTGGTGGGCGCCTGTAGTCCCAGCTACTCAGGAGACTGAGCCAGGAGAATGGCATGAACCCGGGAGGCGGAGCTTGCAGTGAGCCGAGACCGTGCCACTGCACTCCAGCCTGGGGGACAGAGCAAGACTCCGTCTCAAAACAAACAAACAAACAAAAAATTAAGTACAAGAAGTACAGAAGCCTGGCAAAAATCATGAAAGTGAGGGAGGTAATACGTAGACAACTGAACTGGAGGGGCACTGGTCTGAGTGAGGACTTTGGGCACAGTAACTCCACCTCATGCTTTGTGCTTTCTGGGTTTTGTCTGTTTAATTTGTTGTTGTTTTCCCCCAATATAAACTTTTTTTTTTTTTTTAAAAAAACCCAACCTTATTTTGGCTAAGGGGAAAGGGATTTACTTTCATTTGGGTGAAGACAGGACAGACCAAAGCTCCCTAGAGGTTAGTGGTTCAGGTTCTAACCACACAACACTGATGAATGGAAAGGGAGATGTAGGCAGAAGTGAAAAACCCTGGGCAACAGCAGAGCATGCTTCCCTTCCCACCAAGCTCTCAAACACAAGTCTGGAGATTCAATAAAAAAGATCATTCCATGATAGAGAAGACAGAAAGCTGTAACTCTTTTTAATGTTTAACTTTTCTTTGTAAAAAACTTATTAAAAAAACTTAAATGGTCAGTTAAAGTTAAAAATCTATTGCTGCACAATATAACTGATTAAAAGATTTCCAGATCTCTTGACTCCAAGAGATCTCTTTCCACCCTGACCTTTCATTTCTTATAGATCTCACACTTCCAGATTTCTCTTTAGCAAACACGATCTGAAATCATTTGTAGGTAATCAACACTTCAAGCATATGGAGGCTCTGGCTGAGGCAGCAGAGTCCTGGGAGACTGAACACTGGGAGACTCAGTGTCCCCCACAGAAATCCAGACCCGGGCTCAGCCCAACACCGCCAGGGCTCCTGCACAGGACCTATGTGGCGAACCTGAGCTCGATCTTCCCCGTCAGTCCTTCTGGTCACTCCTGAGGGCTGCCGACCCTCCAGAGTGTGGCTCTCCTTCTAAAAGCTGGAGCTTCATTCCACTTTGATTCTCATCAGCTCCCATCTTCCTCCTCCACAGAGTTTCAGAACGAAGGAATGAAACTACAAGAGACCACCACCACACGGAGATCAGGTTGCCCTGGCCACTGGCACAGGAGACCACTCAGTTCTCTCTGCTACTGCTACTCCCTGTTTTGAGGGGCCTCTGGCTCTGGCCAGGCTCAGCCTTTGGGTTCTCTCTCCTCCTTAGGCCATCCTTGTGAGCACAGGTACCTTCTCAAGGCTCTGCCGATGTCCCACACTGATGAACGTCATCCCCAGCTGCTGGCCGATGCGATAGAGCTCGTTCTCCACCTCCTCTGTCAGGGCACTGGTGGCTTCATCAAGCACTGAGGGCAGAGCACAGAGGAAGAGATCAAAGCCCTGCCCTCTGCTGCTGCTGCTTCTCCTTCCACCCACACTCAACCCCGGCTGGGACCCAGGGGAGGCTGAAAGCTGCTCCGGCTTCCAGAAGCCCTGCCTCAGGGAGAAGGATGGGTCAGAGGAGCAGAGGGCCAGACTCTGTGAGGGAATCGCCTATAAGCAGCTGCATGAAATCTCTCAGCTTCTACAGATAAGCATCAGCCACTTCCTGCGACCACTCAATCCAGGGAATCCCAGTTCCCCGCAAGAAGGTCAGTCTTTGGAAAAGTCCACACCCATCTCCCTGCCAGGCACAGCTTGGCAGGAGAGGAGGATGGGTGCCCATTCATTTGATGGTGGAGCCAGAAGAGCATAAAATTACAACCCTTCAAGGTTGGCTCTTGGCTCCAGCTGCTGCCAGGCAAAAAGCTTATGAGCTGGGCATGGTGGTTCATGCCTGTAATCCCAGCAATTTGGGAGGCCAATGCGGGAGGATGGCCTGAGTCCAGGAGCTCCAGACCAGTCTGGGAAACATAGCATGACCCTGTCTCTACAAAACTAAAAATAAAAAAATTAGCAGGGTGTGGTGGCACATGCCTGTAGTCTCGGCTACTCAGGAGGCTGAGGTGGGAGGATCACTCAAGCCTGGGATTTCCAGGCTGCACTGAGCCATGACTGTGCCACTGTACTCCAGCCTGGGTGACAGAGTGAGACTCTGTCTCAAAAAAAAAAAGAGAAAAGAAAGCTTATGAGCAGGCAGTACAGCATATTCAGTGTTACTCTGAAGATGCCAAGCACTGTTTACACGGGCAGGGCCTGCTGTCCTCTCCAGCAGGGAACTCGGAGAAGCCCAGTCATGCACAGGTGTGCCTGGGTGCCCGTGAACACATGCTGCTACACCCGAGTGCAGACAACACATGCATGTGCAGCCACAAGGCAGACCTCACCTGCGTACTTCGGTTGCAGGTAGAAGAGTCGGGCAAAGGAGAGCCGTTGCATCTCCCCTGGGGACAGAACATCATACCTGAGGAAAGGGAGGGGAGAGGACTGCTGGAGGAGGAAGGATATAGCTTAGCTTTTACCTAGAATGGTCTGGGTGGGAAGAGGTTTCTCTGTAGAGAGGTGAGCCCCAGGAGATAGAAGCCCCTCCCTTTTCAACCATAGGCCTACAGCCCTCACAGAGTGAGGCAAAACTCTGTTCCCAAGGACATAAACTTGCACCCGATTGACCAGCCAAACATCTGGACTTTGGGGTCAGGAGCCGTTCCATTCCTTGACAGGGACCCTGAAACCAAAGGTCTTTATGGTGGAGCTATCTCTGAAGCACCCAAGCTCTGTTCTTACCAGTTCCAGTCCACCTGCTGGTCCAGACCCTCTGTCCTTGCCACCAAGTTGGACTGTAACAGACCCAGAGGGCACAATGTCCATGAAATGGCCAGCCCTGCTACCTGCCATCATGGGGAACCTCCCTCACTCCCCAGTGCGCGCACACACACATCTCTAAGACAAATATATGCCCCAGTGGCATGCCAAGGTAGGGGGCTGTGGTACAGTCTGCCTCAGCCAGAGAGGAATAGTCTACCAATGACACTGTTTAGACTTGCTGGAGTATGGTGATAACAAAAAAGCAAACTGCCTTTGTCAGTCCTATTCTTGTTTTAAAATTCTCCAGTGAGAGCACTACCCGCTTCCTGCCTAAACCTGGCCAACAGCACACACTGTCAACTGATACTCCCATTCTCCACCCCAGGTTCAGACTTCCAGTCCTGGGCCCAGGCACAGCAGGGCCAGCACCTGCCTACCTGTGGCTGGTGCTCCCAGGTGGGCTTGGGTCCTGAGGGTCCCTGCCCCCACTTACCAGGCCTGCCAATTCCAAGAACCTCAAGATCCTCTCATCATCAGCAGAACCTGCACAACAGAGAAGCCTTCTGCAAAAAGCCAGAGCCTCCTGGCTGGTCAAAACAGACAGGGCAAGGCTGGGCACAGTGGCTTACGCCTGTAATCCCAGCACTTTGGAAGGCCGAGGTGGGTGGATCACAAGGTCAGGAGATGGAGACCACCCTGGCCAACATGGTGAAACCCTGTCTCTATTAAATATACAAAAATTAGGCAGGCGTGGTGGCATGCGCCTGTAGTCCCAGCTACTTAAGAGGCTGAGGCAGGAGAATTGCTTGAACCCAGGAGGTGGAGGCTGCAGTGAGCTGAGATCACACCACTGCACTCCAGTCTGGGTGACAGAGTGAAACTGCATCTCAAAAAATAAAAAAAAGAATAGACAGGGCACATGGCAGGGGTGGGGGCCCCAGAATGCTGGGTGAAGCCTCTGAAGTCACAGGTTGCAGCCCTTGGTAAGGGAAGGGGTGGGTGAAGGAAGGCATCACTTCCCTTGTCCCAATGGGCGTCTCTCCTTAAGGACGGAAAGACAGAATGAGGTGAGATCTGGGTGCAGACCCCAGAACAGTCAAAGGAAGAGAGGAGTCCCTCTTCCTTGAATCAGCGGCCTGGCTGGGGCCTCTCCCAAAGGGCACAGGTGAGGTCACAGTCAGGTAGGGCAGGGACAACCGTGACAGAAGGAGAGGACATGACCTGAGGAGGACCAGCTCACCTGAGTCGGGGTAGACCTCCTTCAGGGGATATATCACCTGAGAAAAGAAAAAAACCACACCAGCCTAGGAGGAGGGAGAGCAAGAGATGGAGCTGCACACAGCCCACCCTCCCTCCAGAACCCACTGGAACCTCCCAAGGAGGAGAGGTGGGAACGCCTGGCCCGGGTCAGATGGGAGAGGCTCTGGCCTGCAGACAGCAGGGCAAGGTCCCTACAACCTTCAGAAGTGTGTTTAGTGGGAAGAGTGGAACAGCCTCCTGAGGGCAGGGGAACCACAAACCCACCTCGGGTGTTTATGCGTGTGATATGCGTGTGATATCTGGCGTGAGTCCTTGCCCCATTTACCTGCCTCAGGAGCTGCTCTGAGTAGTGGGCCCAATCCATGAATGTGAATACAAGGTTCTTAGAGCCAGCAGGTCCCAGGCCCAGGCCACTTTACTACCTCACCTTTTGCCCTGACTCTAGGGCCTGAGACCTGTCACAGTGCCAAAGGTCCCAGCTGTGGGCAGGTGGGGCTGAGGAGGGAGGAGTGGGCCCCCTGAACTAGGCTGACCTGCTCCCGAAGGGTCCCGTCAGTGAAGAATGGCTTTTGTGGCAGGAATAGCACCCCATGGGGCCCAAAGTCCGTCAGCATCTGCACTGAGCCTGCAGAGCCCACAGAAACCTTCATTGTGAGATCTCCCAAAAGAGGCAACTGCCTGTCTCCTCTCTTCCTTGTTCCCCAACAGAAAAGAATGGACTCTACTACACTGTCCCCGCCCTCACCCCACCCCTAGGGCCCAGGCTGGGTCAGAGGGAGGGAGGGCCTGGCTCTCACCCCGTGTACTTGTCCAGAGGCCGCCCAGAACCCGGAGCAAGGAGGTCTTGCCAGTGCCCGTGTTGCCTGTGATGAGCAGGCTCTGTCCCTCGGAGATCTTTAGGCTCAGATCCTTGATTAGGGGTTTGTCAGAGGAGGGGGCAGAGATGGAGACCCGCTCAAGGAGAAATGCTGTGTCTGCTGGCTCTGCCGCTGGCCACCCTGAGGCTCTGTGTCAGAGAACAGAGGGGGCGTGAGGAAGATGGGCAGGGTCAGTATTGCTGTTGGGGAGGCACTTCTCCTGGGAGCCACCACCTGTGGATTGTTATGGGCTGACTTGCATTCTCCCAAAATCACATGCTGAAGTCCCAGCCCCCAGTGCCTCAGAATGTAACCACATTTGGAGGCAGGGTCTTCTTTTTTTTTTTTTTTTGAGAGAAACTCTTGCTCTTGTCACCCAGGCTTGAGTGCAGTGGTGCAATCTCGGCTCACTGCAACCTTCGCCTCCTGGGTTCAAGTGATTTTCCTGTCCCAGCTTCCTGAGTAGCTGGATTACAGGTGCCCACCACTGCGTCCATATTTTTAGTAGACACAGGGTTTCGCTATGTTGGCCAGTCTGGTCTTGAACTTGTGACTTCAGGTGATCCGCCCACCTCAGCCTCCCAAAGTGGTGGGATTATAGGTGGAAGCTTCTGTGCCCGGCTGGAGGCAGGGTCTTTAAAGAGATGATGTTAACATGAAGCTGTTGGGGCAGGACCCTAATCCACTATGACTGGTATCCTTTGAAGACAGAGGTGGCAGGGACATGCATACACAGAGGAAAGGCCACATGACGACACAGCAACAAGGTGGCCATCTACAAGCCAAGGAGTGGCCTCAGAAGAAACCAACCCTGCTGACAACTTGATCGTGGACCATTAAGCATCCGGAATTATGAAAAAATTAATTTCTAGTGTTTAAGCTACCCGGCTTGGGGTATTCTGTCATGGCAGCCTGAGCACATTAATACAGGGGTAGGGGTGGAACTTCTACTCTGTGCCTGGGTGGACAAAGCCCCTTATGGGACTGATCTTAATCAGTCTAACGCCCATGAATCTCAAATATCATCACAGATGAGGACACTGAGTCAGGTGGCTAAGTAACTGCCCAGGTCACAGAGCGGTATTCATCTAATTCTAATGCTGGTGGGTCTTCATGGTGTCACAGTATGACCAGAGTACTAATAACAAGAATGGGAGTGGTTAAAGCTAAACGGTTCTGGAGTTTCAGGCTCTGCATGGATGCCTGGCAACCCACAGAACAGCAATTCCAGTTTCCTACAGACCCTCCTTTATGCCTAGCCTCTGAACTCATGGTTGCATGAAGCTTTCATTTGGAACAGAAGCAAGAGTTAAGGCATCAACTCCTAAGAAAAGCAAGTTGAGTGTAGGCCCTGGAATTCAGATTGATTTTTGAAAGCTTATGATGTGGCCACTGTCCAAGGACTTTCCAGAGATGATGATATCTAATCCTTACAACAAGTGAAGGAAGGTTCCATTATGACCTCCTTTTCAGACATGAAGAAACAGAACAGTTGGGGGCCGGGCGCGGTGGCTCAAGCCTGTAATCCCAGCACTTTGGGAGGCCGAGATGGGCGGATCACGAGGTCAGGAGATCGAGACCAGCCTGGCTAACACGGTGAAACCCCGTCTCTACTAAAAAAATACAAAAAACTAGCCGGGCGAGGTGACGGGCGCCTGTAGTCCCAGCTACTCACGGGGCTGAGGCAGGAGAATGGCACAGACCCGGGAGGCGGAGCTTGTAGTGAGCTGAGATCCGGCCACTGCACTCCAGCCTGGGCGACAGAGCGAGACTCCGTCTCAAAAAAAAAAAAAGGAAACAGAACAGTTAGGTAATCTGCCCAAGGAAAGTGTGGAGAGCAAACAAATCCTGAATGCACAGAAACATTACAGATCCACACAGATACACGAATACAGACATCTCTGGGGCTAAGTGAGGTGGGAGAACAAAGACAGACATGCCCCAAGGAAAGGGGCAGGGAAAGGACTCAGCGGGAGGAGGCAGCACAGGAAGAGGAGGACACTGCAGATTCCTGTTATCTCAGGCAGAAGGTGTGTGTACTTTGCTTCCATTAGCTGGGGGAATGGTGTAAATTAACACAACAGATGCCGGAACAGCAACATCGACTGTGAACTTACATGTGCCTGGCATTCCATTTCCATCTACTCCTCACAACTCTGCTGCCCTGGGAAAACTCTGGGAAAGGGCAGGGCTCCAGGGTAACCCAAGCCAGGTAATGCCAGAGCCTGCAGCCTCAACTACTGCTCTGCCAGCCCACTACTCACTTGTCCAAGCCCCACTCGCTCTCGCCTAGGATCTCACAGTCCTGCGACTTCAGGGACATGTCCAGCAGCGTCTCCCGAAGTTGCCCAATCCTAAGCAAGAAAAGAAAATCTGAGGCAGGGTCTGGGGGCCAGGTGAAGGCGAATTCCTTTTCCTATCTCACACCCACGAGTACATGGTATGTCTCTGTTCCTTTTTTCACTCAGCCACTTCTTCCAGCAGCACACACTCTGCTCAGGAGCCACCCAGAGAGGTGGGACCCAGCCTCACCTGTGCGTGTAGCCAGCCACATCTGAGAGCGTCGTGGACAGGTCGATGAGCTGGGTGAAGCAGCTGATGAGGTAGATGCACACAAAGGCATTCTGGACAGGATGGGGAGTGGTCAAGCAGGTCTTGACTCCTGCCCACAGGCACTGGACCAAAGGACGGAGGGGGGACAACATGAGGGGTCACCAAAAGGGAGTCTCACCTTGCTGACCAGGGTGCTAAGCTCTGCAGGACTCAGGTCTCCATAGACCCCGCTGAAAATGGGGATTGCGATGACAACGTAACTCAGGATGCTGCCCAGATAGTCAAAGGTGTTGATGCCGACTGTAGAAGACAGATGCGTGAGACACCCAGGAACCATCCACATGCCCTGCAGGGGACACAACCCTAAGACGGGAGGCAGCACGCCAAATAGGGCCACATGCCTTCCCTGGATCCTCATTCTCTTGAGGATACTCACAGAAAGGCAACAGCCCCCGGCCCCCGGTGAATTCCTTCATCACGGCATATTTATCCTTGCAGACAGGAGGTAGACAGGTGTGGGAAGGGAATCAGACCAGTCCAACCCCATGGTTCCCACTTCCCTGGGCCCCCTCGCCTACTGTACAGCCAGAGCTCCTTGGACATCAGCTCCCTCTGGGTCTGAAGGAGTCTCTGCAGCCTGCGGTCTGTCCTCATGTGCTCCACATGCCCAGCTCTGACAAGGAAAGGCTGGGATGTCCACAGGGCTGGAGAGGTTCTGCCAGGTTGGGGGGCCCCTGTCCCATATCACACCCTCCTTTAGAAACCAAGGCCATCCAAATGGTCTTGGTCTCAAGCTCTGTCTACCACTAGCACCCATTCACGGCTTCAGTCATGCCTTATAGTATTGTCTGTGTGAAGAACATAAACTCTAGAGTTGGGCAGACCTGGTTCAAATCCTGGCTCTGGCCAGTTACTAGCTGGGTGACACAGGCAGGCTACTTAAGCCTCCAAGCCTCAGTTTTTTCATCTATAAAATAGAGCCACTAATACCTATGTAATAAGTTAGAGTGAAAATTAAAAGTTTCTAAAGTGCCAAGCCCTCAATAAATATAAGGGGCCCTCAATAAATAAAAACTATTGTTAAATAAACATACCCAAAGCAGTCACTAGGTGTATCAGGCACTGCACTAGTTAGCTAGTGCAATAAAGAGATGAGAAAATTCTCTCTGTCTTTGAGGAGCTCTCAGTCCAGAGGGCAGGCAGGCACACTGCATTCTTCATTTGTAATCAGGAGTACTAAGTGTGCCCTCAGGGCCATGGCAGCAGATGGGCTTAGCCATTAAGGGAGTCTGGGAAGGCTCTCCAGAGGAGGTGATCCGGGGTTTCAAGGATGGGAAGAAATTCGCTAAGGCGGCCGGGCGCGGTGGCTCAAGCCTGTAATCCCAGCACTTTGGGAGGCCGAGACGGGTGGATCACGAGGTCAGGAGATCGAGACCATCCTGGCTAACCAGGTGAAACCCTGTCTCTACTAAAAAGTACAAAAAAACTAGCCGGGCGAGGTGGTGGGAGCCTGTAGTCCCAGCTACTCGGGAGGCTGAGGCAGGAGAACGGAGTAAACCCAGGAGGCGGAGCTTGCAGTGAGCTGAGATCCGGCCACTGCACTCCAGCCTGGGCGACAGAGCGAGACTCCGTCTCAAAAAAAAAAAAAAAAGAAATTCGCTAAGGCAGAAAAGGTGGAGGGAGGAGAGAGGGGGCCTTTCAGATTTTGCACAGAGGCCACAGAAGAATTCATCTGAAACTCTAAGAACTAACCTGCCTTCCCCAGAGCTTCATGAGCAGAGGTTACAGAATCCAAAAACAACTTTTCTTTTTTTTTTTGGGATGGAGTCTTGCTCTGTTACCCAGGCTGGAGTGCAATGGTAGGACCTCCGCTTACTGCAACCTCAACCTCCCGGGTTCATGCGATTCTCCTGCCTCAGCCTCCCAAGTAGCTGGGATTACAGGTGCCCACCACTACGCCCAGCTAATTTTTTGTATTTTTAGTGGAGATAAGGTTTCACTATGTTGGCCAGGCTGGTCTCGAACTCTTGACTTCAGGCAATCCACCTGCCTCAGTCTCCCAAAGCGCTGGGATTATAGGCGTGAGCCACCATGCCCAGCCTCCAAAAGCAATTTTTTTTACACACCCAGCCCTGCCCACCTCACAATCCCACCCCAGTGCAGAGTCGCAGTATTCTTGGTGCCCTCAAGTGGTGGAGTTGCAAACTGCAGCAGAGACTGAGGAGCAAAGGTCCCAGGGCTATCAGATCCACCCCAACTACAGGTGAGCCAAGGAGTAGCTTCCACTTAAGCGCAAACCTCCGCCTACACTATCAATCCTAATGCTGATTTCAGAGGCCTCACTAAGGCAGAGCACAGGGACTGGCGCCGGCCCCGGAGGGAAGGGATGGGATTTCATGCTGCTGCTGCTCCTGCTACTGCCGTCAGGAGACCAGATGCTTGGCTCCATTAGACAGCATTGTGAGGAGGTCTCCTGGTTTTCTGAGAAGCTCCCGTTCCATCCCACACTACAGAGACAAAGGATCAGGCCTGGACCTCAGACTGGCAAGAAAGCTTCTTAACAGACAGAAGAGCAGAGGCAGAGGGATGTCTTACAGTCACCAGCAAGAGGACGAGGCATTCATTCATTTGACAATTTCAGGCCCTATGCTAGGCCACTAAGACTAAAGCTGGCCACAATAAGGAACCACCAGCTTCAGAAGCAAACCCCTGTACCTAAGGACGAGGCAGACAAGGGCAGGGGGAGGTAGAGGGAGAGGGTCACAGCCAAGTGTGACAACACTCAGCCCCTGAGCTCGGTGGTGGTGGGAGAGTTGTAGGATTCATCTTTCCTTCTCCACTCTCAGCTCTGGCAAGGCAGAAGGGGAACCATCTCTCCAGACTCACCTGTAGAAAGCAGCAGGCTCCGCATTCACCCGAATCTGCATGTGCTTGAACCTGGGCGGACCAAAGGGAAATGTGTGCTGACCACAGGGAGTACTGGCCCCACTCCTGTTGGAGTCCTGGATCAAGAAGACCCCCGCCAAGTGGAGCCCGGCTCTGCCTGAAAACTGTGGCTACCTCAGTCTGACCCTTTCCCGGACTGTTACTGGGTAGAAAACCCCGGGGCTAGGTGGTGTGGCAGGAGCTCTGCAGAGACAGGGCTGCCCCTCAGCTTTCTGCAGAGGGGGTATTCCTGCTCACAGCATCTCCTCCTCCCAGGGCCTGGCCTGAAGGAGGGGGACAAGAAGCACAGGGTAGGCGCTGGATCCATCGGCTGCTACAACCAACTGATCCAAGACAGGGTGGTTACGCCAGGGCAGTGAGAAGGCTAAGAGATGACAATGATGATGGTGATGGCCAGCCAGACATGGTTCTCAGTCCTTCTCGGGTATGATCTCATTAATCCTCCCAATCCTCTTGGTAGGCAATGGTACCATTTCCACTTTGGAGACAAGAACATTGAAGCCTGGAGAGGTTAAAGACCTCTCCAAGATCACACAGCTAGTAACTGGCACAGCTAGGATTTGAACTTAGGCAGTCTTACTCCACATCCCCTTCTTTAACCATTATGCCCCAGCCCAGAAACCTCAGGTGAGGGAGACACACCTAAAATCTCCCTCCAGCTTCTCCTGATGCACCAGCTTCGTCACAATGGGGCCCATCAAAGTTTTGTTCACCACGGTCCCCAGGATGAAATACCCAAAGATGCTCACAGGCCCGAGCCAGCCTGTGCTGAAATAGAGAGAGAGGGAGAGAGGGTGTGGGGTGCCACCTATCCCCACAGGCCTCAGCCCTTATTCCTGTCCCCTCTCGGGTAGCCCCTGTCCAATCTGAGTAGCCCACTGGGCCGTCTGCTCCTATGTGGGGGCATCTGGCATGAGCTGTCAGAGCCAGGATACCCGTGACACTGCAACAACACAGGGCCAAAGGAAGGGCAGGGGCCTGAGCACATGGGATGGGAAGACTCCCTAAGGTTTAGGTGGGAGAGAAGGGAAATAAGCTTCTCTTGGACCTTGACCTGGGAGAGCTGAGGACTCTCTGGAAACACCAGGCTGGGGAGGAGGGAGGCTTCACCTTTGGAAGCACTGGTAAGTATAGTAGACGAGGGTGAATGGGGAGACGATCAGCTTGCTGGCCATGCTGCTGAGCTGCCGGCAGAATCGCTCCACGTCCTGGCTGATGCGCTGGTCCCTGGAGCCAACGACACAAGAGTAGCTGGACCCAGGGAGATGGGCCCAAAGGTGGAGAGAGCAAGACACTTTCACATCACCTCTGCTCCTGACCTTGCCTCGCAGTGCTGTAAGCACTGACCCTGTGGGAAGAGGGAACCAGACAAGGCTGGTTGCCTAGGGGCAACTAAATCCTGGGGCCTTTAAACAGGGTTTTAGAGAGTTGCACCTTACGGTGCCTCAGTTAATCCCCTGAAAAAGTGGGAACTGAAAGGTCCAGCAACCAGGGGCCTGAGCCAGCTCTGAGCAGAGCCAAAGAAAAACTTGAAGGTAGATGAGCTGCTTTTTTTGGATGATGAAGAAAACTATCCCCTTTATCTCAATCCTCCCAAATTTCTCTTATATAAACCCTACCCTGGCCCCTGTAGTTATCTGGCTGTGAAAGCTCCAGGTTGTGAGGCATACCTGTAGTACCAGCTACTCAGGAGGCAAAGGCAGGATGGAAGCCATAGCCATCAGAAAGAGGCCTAGAAGTTAAGTAGCAGCAGCAGCCTCCCAGGCATCTTTGCACCAAAGCTCAGCTTGAGCTGAGAGGCACCCCAGGCAACAAAGTGCTTGCTAGGAAGGCGGTGAGTGAGGGTATGGGTGTGAAGGAGACCCCATATGTCTCATCTCACCACTAGGGCCATACTGACTCCTATTTCCAATGAGCGACGTGACCTTGGGCAAGTCACCTGCAATCTCTGGGCTTCAGCTTCCTCATCTGTAAAATAACAATAGCTAACTTACAGTGGAACACTTGCTATGTGTCAGGCACTGTACATGTGCATTACATGAATGCTATCATTTCATCCTCACTACATCCTTTGAGATAGGAACTATTATCATTCTCATTTTACAGAAGGGGAACCTGGGGCTTGGTGACTTTAAGAGCCATAAGCTGAGTGGTGATAGAATGGGATTTGAATCCTAGACTGAGTCCTGGATAGCGGTATTTTTTTTACTGATGAAAATCTAAGAGCTAGTTTTTCTAGCAAGGACATTTTCTTTAGAGGGTGCCTTACTGGAAGACTAAGATATAAAAAATGAAAAGGACAAAAGGAAGCTGCTCCTGACATTTTTTTTTTTAAGAGGTGGGGGTTTCTGCTATGCTGCCTAGGCTAGAGTACAGTGGCTATTCCCAAGCGTGCTCACGGTGTGCTACTGCTGGACTCAAGTGATCCTCCTGCCTCAGCCTCCTAAGTTGTTGGGACTACAGGTGCATGCCACTGCACCTGGCAGGCTCCTTTTTAGCAGCCTGCAGCTTCTCCAGGGGTCCTCTGCAGGGCACCCTCCCCCATGACTCTGGGCAGCAGCATTTGAAAACAACTGTAGACATCTCCATGGGGTCTGCTGCCAGGAGTCTCCAGGGCTAGGCCAGATGGAAAGGACCACACAGAGTATAGAAAGGACTGAGTTGGGGCACCTACGGGTTATCGATGTCATCCCGCAGCACATTGAGGGTGTAGTACACACGGCCCCGGAAATAGAGGCAGTGGAGGTGCTCAGTGAGGTCCTTCCTCCAGCTCACATACAGCAGGTTGCAGGTGAACTGATCAAAGCTCTTCAGCTGTGCAGTGGGGGAAGCAAGCGGAAGGGAGAGATGGCTTCCTGAAAATCTCAGCTCAAAGCTCATGGCTGGCAAGAGCCTCCACTGACCCATCCCAGCCTACTCTGACTCTGATTACTCTGTCCACTCAGCTCTTTTCTTGTTTAAATCATCAAGTCACGAGACTTTCCCTTCCTCACTCACTGACTCATGTGTTCATTCCTGCACCAAATTTTTCTTTTTTTTTTGAGACGGAGTTTTACTCTTGTTGCCCAGGCTGCAGTGCAATGGCGTGATCTTGGCTCACCACAACCTCCGCCTCCCAGTTTCAAGCGATTCTCCTGCCTCACCCTCCCGAGTAGCTGGGATTACAGGCAGGTGCCACCATGCCCAGCTAATTTTGTATTTTTCGTAGAGACGAGGTTTCTCCATGTTGGTCAGGCTGGTCTGGAATTCCTGACCTCAGGTGATCTGCCCGCATTGGCCTCCCAAAGTGCTGGGATTACAGGCGTGAGCCACCACGCCCGGCCTCCTTCACCAAACATTAAAGGGCTTACCAGAGGCAAGACCCTCAAGCCTCTTTCTACACTGTCTTATTTTGAGAGTAGATGAGCTTCTGAAAACTGGAGACCATATTGTCAATTCCATTTATGTTCTTACTCCTTTGTCCCCCAAGCTTGGGACAGAGATTTGTATGCATAGGTGCTTACTGAACGAAGACCCAACAAAAGTGGCCACGGTATGACGAGAAGTGGCTTCCCCAAAAAAAACAGGTGGCACAGCCTGGCAGAGAGCATTAGGCTTGAGTTCTGGCAGAGCCTTGAGTCTGCCAGACTCATTTACCACTTCCAGAGCAACTATGTGCTAAGCACTAGGGACATTATGAACTCACAGTTTAGCCAGAAAACAATTACAAGGGTGTAAGGAGTGTTACAACAGAGGTGAACTCAAGGAATTAGTTAAGTACAGAAAAAGGATAGAGTTTGGTGGAGGTGACACAAAGGAGAAAGCTGAGGAAGACCTGAAAGAGGTGACAACGGAGGGATGATGAAAAGTGAGCAGGTGGTAGCCCCCTACTGAATGAGGGGTAGGGGAGGGGGCCATTGTGCAAGAAGGCACCAGTTCAAAGGCTGGGAGGTGTGACATGGTGCCAGGATAAGTCACAGCCTCGGTCCCACAGAGGAGGAGCAGCAGCTCTGGCTGCCGAGCCCAGTTTTAATGAGCTGCCAGAAACAAGAGTTCTAGGAAGGAAAGGCGCAATGATCAGTTCTGCTAAATGCTGATTTAAACCAGAACCTGTGGCCTGGGCCCAGGAGTTGAAACATCTGAGGAATCAATTCCACGTGGGCCAGTAGCAAGATCAATGTGCTTAATAAGGGCAACTATGCCTTTAGTTCCCAGAAAAGGGAGGAAACACACCCCTACAGCTTGCTTCCTGCTTCCTGGAGGCTAAGTCCCACTAGGCATTACAATCACACTGGACTGGAGAGGAAGAGAGACACAGAGTGAGGGAAAGATCTTACCGTGGAGTTCAGAACAATAAACATGACAGCCAGGAATGTCAGAGTCTTAAACCCTTCCAAGTCTTTGTTTCCCAGGACACCATAGTACTGACTGGGGATCAAGCCAACTTGGTAGATCACCAATTGCTCTGAAAGGAGGGAGAGGAGTAAGAAATCAGTGATGAGGGGTTAAAAAGAAGTGAGGCTTCTTCCTGAGTCCCTGCCTCATCAGCACCCCAAAGAGATGAAAAGGGGCTGGGCACGGTGGCTCACGCCTGTAATCCCACCACTTTGGGAGGCTGAGGAGGGTGTATCACCTGAGGTCAGGAGTTCGAGATCAGCCTGGCCAAGATGGTGAAACCCCGTCTCTACTAAAAAATACAAAGATTAGCCGGGCGTGGTGATGGTTGCTTGTAATCCCAGCTACTCGGGAGGCGGAGGCAGGAGAATCACTTGAACCAGGAAGGCAGAGGTTGCAGTGAGCTGAGATCCTGCCACTGCACTCCAGCCTGGGGCAACAAGAGAAAAATTCCGTCTCAGAAAAAAAAAAAAAGATGGAAAGGGACCCCAAACCAGAGCTCCCCTCTCCCCTCTAGTCTGGGCTCACTCACTCACCCAGTAGGGTCAGGCACAAAAGGGTCAGGAACATCAAGGCATTCTGTGATGACCAAGAAGGAAACAAAACCTTCAGTATCTGCAGGAACCGATGGAGAAATTGCAGATCCAACCTCGGCCTGAAGAGAAGGTGGGGAGGCAGAGAAAAGCCCAAGATGTAATTAAGCCTTAGGGAGTAGTTATTAAGCGTATCCACGTTGTTCTGCAAAGGGTCCAGGCCACGCAGAAAGAATGGTTTCCGAATGCTGAAGATGGTAGGCTGGGAACAGACCACGGATACAAAGGAAATTCTTTGGCCAAGCATGGTGGCTCATGCCTGTAATCCAAGCACTTTGGGAGGCCGAGGCAAGAGGATTGCTTGAGGCCAGGAGTTTGAGACCAGCCTGGCCAGCATGGTGAAACCCCATCTCTACTAAAAACACAAATCAGTTGGGCATGGTGGCACACACCTGTAATCCCAGCATTTGGGAGGTGAGGCAGGAGAATCGCATGATATAGCAACCCAAGAGGCAGAAGTTGAAGTTGAAGCTGAGATCATGCACTGCACGTTTAGCCAAGGCAACGAGCGAGACTCCATCTCAAAAACCAACAAACTGGTACTGGCAGATGATTGATCATTTACACAGGAAAAGCAAATTGACAGACAAACTGTTGAAAATAAAGAGTTAACCAATGTCATTAGATATACAATATCAATAGTGTCTCTTCTATACAGCAATAATTCAACTATAAAATATAAAGAAAGGCAGGCCCGTGGCTCAAGCCTGTAATCCCCAGCACTTTGGGAGCCGAGCACGGGCCGGAATCACGAAGTTCAGGAGTTCCGAGACCATCTGTAACAACGGTGGAACAACCCGTCTCTACTAAAAATACAAAACCTGCGGCGAGGGTGGGCGGGCGCCTGTAGTCCCCAGGCTACTCGGGAAGGACCTGAGCAGGAGAATAGGCGTAAAACCGGGAGCGCGGAGCTATGCAGTGGAGCCTGAGATCCCGGGCCTGCACTCCACCTGGCGACACAGCGAACTCCGTCTCACAAAAAATAAAATAAATAAAATAAAATAAAATAAAAATAATAAAGATAAGCACAAAAAACCTACAGAACTATCAACAATACCAGGGGCAGTTAAACTTCTTACCATATTGGCCCGGTGCAAGTGTCTCACTCACCTGTAATCCCAGCCACTT